TTTCATATATACACATCTAATAATTATGACATCAGAGGAGTCCAAATAAAATGCGAGGCCTGTGACCTCCTGCAAACATTTGTTTTTCAGCTGTCCCTCTGCATCCTGCTCAGCACCACTGTGCACTACTTTCACAGTGACTGGCCACATAGCAGATCTCAAAGTGAGATAGGAAACTAAGTTACCCAGAGGCTATCATCTCATTTTCCCCTATAGTGCATAACATATTGTAGGCAGTTTCCACTTCCTTTCTTGCTAAATGATACCAGTTGGTTTGTGACATCGAAGCTGTTGGGTTGGTTATAATCAGTATTTTAAGAAACTATAAAGAACAATTTGCATCTAATACTGTACAGGTGTTAAAGCTGTCACACAATACAAATTGATGCAAAACCAAGTGGTATTTCTAAATGCCTCTTCTGCTGCACACATTACATGCAGAAACTTCCATCTTTTTGGTTTTTAGAACCCAAGGCCAGAAGGAGAACATTAGCATTTATTTGTATTTTTGTAGCGCCTAGAAGCCCTGGCCATGGACCAGGCCCCCTTTAACTGTCTTTAAAAGCTTACACATGAAGACAAGAGTCAAGAGATGGGGAGAGCCAGACACGGGAGTAGGTTTCTAAGAACTAAAACCATGTGATAAATTTCAAAGCAGATGAACAACACCCGAGATCAGAGTCCTTGCACTTCTTTCTGAGGCCTTACACTGATTAACAGATCTCTGAATACATCTCCTCTGTATTTCCTATTTCTGCTACTATTTCTGTTTTCCCTCCTCTTCCTGCCTCATGTTTTTAGCAACGTGCTGTTACCTGTGGGGAATGTACCATTCACTTAAGGGAGCCAGGCACACTTTGCTTAGAGTGAAAAGAGTATCTCCATTTACTTCAAGCCTCAAATGAGAGTACATGAGAGCCCTTGCTTGTTTCTCTCTCCTTTGTTAAAGTCTCATCTGCTTTGGTGGGTTATAGTTGTGTAGCCACACTGATGTACTGGCACCAGTGCCAACCTTTCATGAAACCACATGACACCAGAGTAGACATTACTTGTGCTCCACTTCCCATTTTTTCACAGAACAAATTCAGCACAAGCAATGACTGTTCAAACCGCCCCTCTCACTGCCTGGGACAGGACTGACACTTGACTGCTTGTAAAGTTACCAACCCACTTTTTTTTTTAACTTCTCTGCTCTCTATGAAAAGTATTCCAGTGGTGATGTTCACAATGAGTTAAGCTACAAATTTAATTCACACAATGCAAAACATGGCCACCGTGTTCTTTACCAGACACTAACTTGGATGATTTGTGCAGGGAAATAACATAATTCCTTTCTTACTTTTTCAAACTGCCTACTTCCTCAGGAAGCCTCAGTGATAACACCTCAGAGATATCTCCTGCATCACTTTCTGCTGAAGAAATATATTCAAAATGAGAACATGCGTATACTCAAACACATTTTTTATTCTTTCCCAAAGCAAACTGGTTCATGTTCACTGAATTCAAGTTTGACTTGGTGTCTGTGGTAGAACGGGATGCAGTATTTTTGGCTGAAAAGTTTTTAGGAAAACAAAATGCCAATTCAGAATCCACAAAAAGTTTCTCAACTTCTTTATTCAGCAAAATAAATACATAAAATTAAAAGATTCCCAAATGTAAAGGCATGTCACTCTGACATGTTTTAAATGAAAGATTTCAATTTCCTATTCAAGCAGCATTTTGGTTTTGAAATTTCTCAAAATATATTTAATAAAATACAAATGATACATTAAAAAAGTTAATGGAGCTGTCAGCAAACTGAAAAAAATCTGTCATTTACATGGCTGCAGTCTGCCAGGCTGTCTCCATGAAATGTACAGAAACAAAGGAAGCCTTCTCAGGCCAAATTCAGAGTTAGCATAAATGGATTAAAACTCCCACTGAAGTAGCATGAACTTACTCCATATAGGAATAGGGCTTTTCATTTAAAGTAATTGCCTAGGCATACACATTGAAGGTCTTGGTGTGATGGCTGCAGGACTCCATACAAATTCATCAGGCACCTGACTAGACCTCTTATGTACACACCATGTTCCAGAGGATTAATGGTTGCCTACTAATTATTTATCAAGTCCTGGTGACCGACTCTTTTTAGTTTGGTGGCTGGGGAAATATCCCCATCACTCTCTTTGCCAACAAAGTCCACTGGATCATGGAACCAGATTACAGAAGAGTCAGCTAAAATCCTTTTGTTTGTTATATGGTGTTTTTTCAGGAAGAATAAAGAGGAGCTTTCACATGTTAACTTACTACTCACTCTTTTTAGTGGATGCATTCAGCATGTAATGGTGAAATAAAGTAAATTTATGTTATCTGCTTTGCACAGAATATTGCTATAAGCCTTCATACTGTATTTAAATCTTTAAAAAATGACTTTTCCTTCATTGTCATCAGCTCAGGCAACAAATGGCACAGGTGGGTGGATAGAATCATTTCTGCTTTCCCTCGACTCTATTGTATTCATTGAAGATTGCACTGCCTACCTGAAGGATGACGTCACACATGCCAAGCTCGGTTCTGAATGTATCTAAAATAGATAGAATATGGAAAACTATCCCTGTGTCTTGGGTCCTATGTGCCTCTCAGAAGAGAAGGTGAGGCAAAGGTAAGTAGTTTCTTTAGGTCAGCGAAAAAACAGATTAAGTGGACATAACTAAATGAAGTCTTCTCATTTTTCTTTCTCACTTTGTTCAAATGGGTTTGGTCATTAGGCACTGAATAATTTGTTTCCTCAGATTTTGTCTCTCTGAAAAGGGCCAAAAGTTTTCCAGGTTCATTTCCATTTGGTTCAGACAAAATGTTGGTCACTGCTTTGTTTGTACTTTTCTTTCTCCAGCAGTGCCAGGATCTAGACAAAAATGATAAATCAAACAAAAATCTTTCTTGATTGTACTGAACAGTCTTTCTATTTAGGCCAAATTTACAAACAAAGATGTACTTGTTTAAGTAAATGCATGTTTTTATACCAACTTAGTGTTCAATTAAATCCTGGGTGGGAAGACTCTTCAGCTGATGTAAAATTGGCTTGGAGACACTTGGTGTGGATTTGTAAGTGTACAAACACAACAGAAACTAACAGATCAGTTTAAACTGAATCTGAAGTGCCAGGCACAGGAAGTTGCACCAGTGTAAATATAATTTCAAACACATTGTACTTATGTTTGTTTAACTTGTGTGTGCAGACAAGGAGTTAGGCTTCATCACTGCTACCCTGAGACCATTGTGTCAAGCAACATCTAGCATTGCTTGACCCATCTACCCAATCATTCTGTCTCTTCCAATGTCCAGAGATGATATACAGCGGGGCTGTCTAACTTTGATGTGGCCAGGGCCTCAGTTGGCCCCTGCATGCAGTCCTCAGTGTGGTAGCTGGAATGTACCTTTACGGGGCCAGCAGTGAGATGACTCAGTCTCTCCCTCTGATGCCCTGTGGGTGTAGTTTGTGGTGGTGGGTAGCTGTAGTTCTCCCTGCAAGCTGTGAGCATGTGAGTTGCTGAATCCTATTCCTAATACAGATAAAGCTGTTTACCACCCTACTGGTCTCTGCTGAATGATGACTCGAGGACACAACCTCAAAGGCATGGAGGTCTGAGTGAATTCCCCATCCCTGGAACCCAATGGCATAGAGTAAACACTATACCCAGGCTGCACACCAGGAGTCACATACAGTGGAGTGGCCCCTAGGGATTCTCCTCCACTGTTCCAGCTGCATTACTAGCACATAGCCCTCCCACCTCCCGCCGCATGGGCTATACAGATGGCAGGTGGGTACCCAGACCCTCATCACATAATAGTGGGTGCTGGTCTGTGGGCCACATGTTAAGCACTTCTAGGTCGTGTGTAAGCAGCAGGCCACATGCTGGCTCCTCGCATCCTGCCAGTTTTACAGGAATGAAAATCTCCTCTACCTCCTCTTTCTTTCAGTACCATTTCAAGAAGGAATCCTTTTCCCAATATCTTTGGGTGTGGGAAGGAAGTACATTCCTTCCCAACCATTATCAAAGGCAAAGGGTTTCTAAAAATTTAGAAAATAAATTTAAGCATGGGCCAAGAAGGATTGAAATCTGCAATATTTAGCTGCTGTGTCCAGCATGCCAAACCTGACCGGTATAAACTGGTTGCTATAATCAAGTGTCAGCCCCCTAACAAGCCTACCTAATGATAAAAAGCCTACATAACATTAATGATATCTAGCTTATGTTATGGGTAAATTCATTCAGACTGTGAGCTATCATTTAATAAAGAAGAATACTTTGCTCACTAAGGCCCTTCTTGACACAAAAACCATCACATCTTTTAGGGATCCCATGCTCTTATGTACAAAGATGGCGTTATCAAATTTAATGCTTCACTGCAATTGGTGATCAGGAAGGATGTCAACCAGGCACAGCATTGCCCTGTTGGCCAGGTGATTAATGATCATCACTATGTGCATTTCTTCTGCATCTTCCTCTGAACCGTTATATATTGTTCACTGCCCGAAGCAATATTTTTAATGGGCAATGATATTCAGCTGGGTGCATGCTCATACCTTGCATCATTATGTTTCCTTCTGTACACTGGAAACCATGGGCAAAGAAAGTCAATACATACCAATAAAATAACACTAAACGGCAAAATGGGAAAATATCAGCCCTTTACAACTCCAGCAACAAAAATGTCCTGGATTCTTGTTTTTGAAAGTCAGAAAAAGTAGTATTATTCATGCATTATTCTTAGTTCTTGTGTGGTACTGAGTTTGCAGTCACATTGATATGCTGGGGGGAGCAAAAAGACCTTACTGAATTCCAGTCGCACTTGTAAAGATCCAGAGGCAAATCATGCTTTTGTCTCCAGTTGCTTTGCTTCTGTTATCTTTATCTCCTTACCAGTGACAAGTTCTTTCACCTCTGAATGTCAAAGCAGGTAGAGGGTCCTTGTTACTTTGCTCGCGTGCAGACTTCCCAGATGCTACATGAAATTTACTGATCTGCCACATCTGATGTGGAAGTGACAGGGAGTCTTTTGTCTTCATCTCGCCTCATTGCAAAATAATCAAGTGAGTCATAGAGAGCAGAAATAGCCTGGAAAACCAAAAAAAAAAAAAAAAATCCAGTTACAGTAACTTACATTATTAAAGTGTATTTAAAATGAACAGTTATGTAACATATGCCAGCTAGAACAGAAACTCAGAAAACAAAGGAGAAAACTATGTCCATCTTAAAGATCACAGAGTCTTAATCTTATAAATATGCCCAAAATTCAATAAATCCAAAATTAAAAAAAGCCTTCTGATATCTGGATGTACTTGGATGCAGGGGTTTGGTCTTTTCCCTTACAAAGATAGGACCAGCTTCAAAGTGCTGGATCTGTGTTCAACAGTGTTTATAGTTCTTCAGAGCCAAAATCCTTTTCTATTTAAAATGACCTTTTGTATTTAAATAGCACATTTCTTCCACATCGATTGTTCAAGCCTTGTGAAACCCCTCATATATGCATGGAGTTTTTTTTACAACCCTAATGCTGTTTCTTGGATGTGCCAATTTTTATGATATCAAACTAGTATTTAATTAATGAGGTATTCAGGTGGAAGCCAGGGCAAGGTGTGTTACCTTAGAGATTGACTAGTTCAGAGAGGCATGGCCTTCTGTAAGCAACAGCCTACTTCACTAATATCTGATAAAGTAAGTTGCTGCTTGCAAAAGTTCATACTTTTCTGAACCAGTTAGTGTCTACGGTGCCACCCTTACCCACCTTCTGCCTGACTTCAGTTTAAAAAACACCAGTAGGTGCTATTCTAGACTCTGCAAAAAGATCCCATTTTCATTTCCCACCCACAGGCACTGCCAGCAGCGGCCAGGGGCAATCATGGACTGCCCACAGATACTGCCAGTAGTGCCAGCAGCAGGGTGGCGAGTAGCGACTGCTGTTGGCAGCGCCTTTTTGCAGGAGGTGCATGTGCACAGCCACACACAAGGGGTGCGTGTGCACCCGCGTGCACCCACTATGCATCGCCCCTGTAGAAAACAATTACAATTGCCCATGATTCCTAAATACAATAAATAAGAAGTGTGTAGATACCTTTAAGAGTATTATGTATAAGTTGTTACATTGGCTCAGGGACAGCAGAAGGCTGAGCACTGCTTTCTGAATAAACAAACTTTATTGTTCTATAAGCTTAACTCCTTAGTCTTTTGAGAACTACACATGGTATCAGGAGAAGGGTGCGAAGAAAGACAGAACAATGGAGTTAAAGCTGTCCAGCAATGCAGCAGAAAACTGTAAGAATCTTAAATAGAGCTTCGCCATATATATGACAGCCAGTGGAGCTACAAAGAAGGAAGGTCCACTCAAGGTAGGTTGTTTTTTTTTAAATATAGCAAGCCCAGAAGCTCTGTCTCTTTATAATGGCCTGCAACTGTCAGAAGCAGAACAAAAAAGCTATGACACAGCAAAAAAGTTTGAGGAATATTGTATATCCAAACAAAATGAAACCTTTGAACAGTATAATTTGCACCTGAGACAGCAGAAAGAATGTGAGACAACAGAGGAGTTTGTCAAAGACCTCAGACTGCTGAGCCAAACATGCAACTTTGGAGACCTAAAATAGTCCATGATCAGAGACCAAATAGTATTGGGTATGAGGGATACAGTCCACAGGTAAAGACTGCTAGAGGATCCTGAGCTTTATTTGGAAAAATCAGTTAGAATGTGCCAAGTGGCTGAGATAACAAATATCAAGCTGCAGAAACTGGAGGAAAAAACAGAACGAGGTGAACAAGATAGGATTACAAGACTGGAAAAGCCTAAGTCAACACACAAATAATACAGCAATTCTCTTTGGCCTCCATTTGCCTACTATGAAGTAGGCAAATGGAGGCCAAAGAGAATTGCTTGAAGAAACACTGGTAAACTGCAGATGCGGTGGGGGTTACCACAAACCCATGCAATGCCCTGCATTTAGTAAATTCTGCAACAACTGCAAAAGATTCAATCACTTTGCAAGTTTGCAGAAAAGAGCAGGATACACCATACAAAAAACAGCACTTGCATGCTCTATGCAACAAGAAAGAGGAAGAATTCTTCATTGGTACAAAGCAAGAAGTTCATTCTTCCAAGGATTGGAAAATCAACCTGGATACGAGTGGACTAATGATAACTTTTAAATTAGATAGAGGGGCCAAAAAATGTTCCCTTTGTGCTAAGGGAGAAACTGAAGAAAGAACTGGATAGATTAGTTAACATCATAGGCAGAGGGAAAACATTTTTTTTGAGGGGGAGGATGAGCGCATGTGCATCCCCCCAGGCAGGAAAGTCTGCAGAGAAAGGGGTGGAGGGAGGGGAAAGGGCCATGGGAGGGAAGGAGTGAGTGGGGCTGGGGCTGGGACTGGGCAGAGATCAGGAGAAAGCCGACCCAGACCCAGGATTGAGATCGGGGCCGGGCCTCCTGTGGGTTGTTGCCCAGCACTGGCACCTCCCCCACCAATGACTCTGATGCTTCCCAGCCCTGCACCGGCGCCAGCTCCCTCCCTGCACTCACCCAGGCCCCAGCCCTGCATCACCTGGGGGGGCCCAGAACTGAGGGCTGGAGCAGGGCCAGCCTCGGCTGTGCTGCCGAGCTGGAGAGGACGGAGCCCCTGGGACCCACATGCCCACCCTGAGTCATCATTGTTCAGCCTGTTATTGGGGGCATGACTCCTGCTGCTACACACACCCTGGGAGGCACAGGGGGCATATGCTCCTGCATCTGTGTGGGGCAGAGCAGGCTGCTGCTGTGGGCTGGGGCCAGGGCTGTGCTGGGCTGTTCTAGGAGAGCAGGGAGGCAGACTGCATTTGGGGCAGGTAGCAGTGGCACTGGGAGCGGGGTCAGATGGATAACAGCAAATTGTGGGGTGGCTGCAACTCCCCCCATAACTCCCTTCCAGCACCACCGCTGCCCATCCTGCAGGCAGGTAAATTCGTTTTAATCAGGCTGGAGGGGGTGCAGATTGAGAGTGAGGTGGGGCAGGGTGAATCACCCACCCCAGCCTCACTCCCTTCTGCACTGTGAGGATTGCCCCACAACCTGGCCTGGCCTGGGCCCTGTCTACAGTGAATTGGGCCCCAACCAGACTGGGTTGTGGGGCAATCAAAGCACGGTGGCTCCTCCAAAGCCAGCGCGGCACCAGGGAATGAAGCAGGGGGCCCCAATCTTTGCACAGGGCAGGGGCGGACCGCAGCTGGGCTCAGCCTCTGTGCCCACGCCTTGCTGCTGCTGCTTTGAATGTGGCATGGCGCAGTGCCATGTGCCTTGCTGACAGGCTCGCCCAGTGGCAGGACACACATGCCACCATGCCACTTTCAAAGCAGCAGTGGCAGTGAGGCACAGGTACACGGAGCAGAGGCTGAGTCCAGCTGTGGCCTGCCCCTGCCCTGTGCAAGGATTAGGGGTCCATGTGCCCCCTGCTTCACTCCCCAGCACTGCACGGGCTCTGGAGGAGCCCCCAGGCTCTGACTGCCCCACGACCCAGCCCAGCTGGGGCCCGATTACTGCGAATGGGGCCCTAGCCAGGCCGGGTCGTGGTGCAATCAGAGCCCAGTGGCTCATCCAGGGCCATGGTGCAAGAGAGACAAGAGGGAGAGGGACGTGCCTGCCCTTCCCTGGCTCTCCTGTGGTGCATGCAATGGCAGGAGCCACCCGCCTGCACCCTTGGAGGAGCCGCTGGGCTACACCAGGTTCTTCCCAGGGATGACTCAGGGCAGGTGTCAGGTCCCAGGGTCTCCATCCTTTCCGGCCTGGTGATGCAGCTGAGGCTGGCTCCAGTCCAGGTCCTACCAGGCAGTACAGGGCTGGGGTCAGTGCAAGGCAGTGGTTTACAGGGGCTGCCAGAGCCAGGGAACAGCCCCGGGCATGGAGGACGAGGTGGCCTCATGGCTGCAGCAGGCTCCAATTCCAGTCGTTTTTTCCTCCCTGCACCTATGGCCCTGCAAAAGGAGAGCAAGAGGTGCTCTATACTGGCCCAACATAAATAATGACATAGAAGATGCTGTAACAGCTTGTACAATGTGCCTAAAACACAGATCAGCACAAAAAAAATCCATGATGGTCATGGAGGAGCCCATAGCTCCGTGGCATCAAGTGGGCATTGAATTATTCATGCATGCCGGAAAAAAATGATGTATTAGTGCTGAATTATTATTCTCACCATCCTGAAACTGCTTTGCATGTAAGTAGAACAGCAATCCATGTCATAACTCACATCAAATAGACTTTTGCTAGACATGGGATTCCACAAATTGTGAGAACAGACAATGGACCCCAGTTCAACTGTCTTGATTTTAAAGAGTTTGCAAGCAAATATGGATTCCATCACAACACTTCAAGTCCTAAATATCCACAATCCAATGGTCTAGTGGGAAATGGAGTACAAATAGTGAAGAAATTGTTGAAAAAAGCTACAGATTCACATGCTGATGTTTATCTGTCACTCTTAAATTAACAAGGTAACACCCAGGAAACATTGATTGTCCCCAGCAGAAATGCTGTTTATCAGAAATTCAAAACCAGGCTGCCAAATCTTGTGGGTGACGCTCATCACAATGAAAAGCAAAATGTGAAAACATTTTAAAAATTCAACAAACTCAAATAAAAACGGTACTATGACAGGGATTCCAAGGACTTATCACAACTGCACAACAAAGATATGGTGCTCATTTCAGATGAACGAACATGGAAACAAAAAGCACTTGTTTCTCATCAACTAACTCCCAGATCCTGTAAAGTAGTCACACCGGAAGTACATGTTTTAAGAAGGAACAGACAACGCTTGCAGCTTGTAAAGGGGAAAAAAGAAGCAGCATCATGAGATTCACCAAGGAAACAGAGCTAACTTCAAAGCAACATAAGACGACATCTAGCACTTTGGAGCAGACAGCAGGACAGCACAGCCTGCCCAGAGGTGTGCCCGTGCAGTCGCAGCCAGCATGGAGCTGATGCCAGAGCTGTATATCTTGTGTTTGCTTCTGTTTCTCTTTGTGCGGGATTGGGGGTTCAACTTGTTACTACTTTTTAAAGATGTGTTACTAACAAGTTATTAATTCAATAAAAGTAAATCTTCTTGAAGATTATTCTCAAAAATGCCCATATTTTGTTGCTTTGATTAGTTTCCACTCTGGCTGATATCTTTTCCACATTTGATCTGTCGACTTGCATTATGCTTCTTTCATTCATTGAGAAGTGAATAGAAGCAAAAGTGTTTATTTTAGCCAAGTATTTGGGATTATTTCATTCTTGCTTTTATATTGTTTTTAGTTTTTATTTTAAACCACATTTCCAGACCCATTTCATTGTCACTTCCTGCAACTTCACTGATGTCAAAGGTCACGTGACATCACTTCCCGATGTGATGCCACTTCCGGTGAGGTCTTTGAATATGGCTCGCCGGCCCACTGGGTGATAAAAGTTTGTGATCTGGCCCCACATTCAAAAAGGTTGGACACCTCTGATATAAAGCCACACCTCCAAAGTTCCAGATGACCTGTACTTTGCTATGGCACAGCATTAGATATATAAAAAAAATCTGAGCATAACATGGTACGTTTATATTCGTTGCCTGATGCATATATACTTGTACTCTGTTCTGAAGGTCTTACCCACAGCCTTAGATGTACTAAAACAACTAATCACAGGCAGCGTGGGGGAGAATGCCCAGGCAAACTACAGCATTTGATGGGATAAGGCATGAAAGCCTGAAGCATGAAACCATGCTAAAATGGTGTGTGCTCTGCTCTCACAAAGTGCAAGAGATGGCTCTCATGTTGCCATCTCACCATTATTCTCTTTGGCAATAGACACAGTCTATTAAATCACTGGGGCCAACCATGCTGCCCACTCGGCTTACGGAGTAGTTTCATTCAACCTATAATATTCTTTTTGTTTGCTTTTCTCATTTTCCCCTTTTCTTCATTTCCATACCTCATTATGTATAATTCCAGGCCTTTCTGACATGCAGATTTTAAGAACAGAAAGGACATTTGTTATGCTTTTAATGATAGCACATTTATTTTTTTTATGACTTTCTGTCATGTATTAGGGTACTTTCCTGTCAACAAGAGTCTTGTTCTCGCTTTGTATTCTTTCTGCTCAGCTTCCCACTGTGAAGTACCTCACTTTTCTCACAGCCAAAGCCCTCTTATAAGTCACTTACCCATTCGGATGAGTTAGATGAAGAATTTCCATCATTTGCTTCATTTCTCTCCTCATTTCCTTCATCCAGTTCAGGAACCTGAAGCATCTGTTCCTCTTGATGTCGTCTAACTGGCACTGAAGGTTGGGCGAATCACAATATCATAAAAAAACCAGACAGCCACTGTTTGGTCATTATGCTTTTCAAGAGTCATATATTGGGAGACTAAAGTGATCTTTCATGGGAATGTTTGGTGAGCTAATAAGTGTTTAGGATATTGTGACAGTCAAGGGCGCAGAAACCTCAGACCCCAGTACCTCGGATATTCTCAACTCCTGTTGAGTTGTTGATCAGTTAGGGAGCAGAATAAATTCTGCTCAGCACTCACACATGACCATGTCACAAAGCCAATTAGCTGTGCTACCTTACAACTGCAGAGTACTGCCATGTGTAAGATTTAGTTTACCACTGCTGGAGGGTGCTAAGTTTGCTATTGTCCTGTTTATCTTGTAATTGCACTTGGGGTTTTCTGTGAGCTTTTCCATCTCGCCATTTTGGTAACAAAAGGGTGGGATTTTGCCGTGAACACAAAGCAAATACAAAAAATGCTTTTTGAAAATAAAGATTAATTGAGATCTTTATGTTTAAGTAACAACCAGATGAAATGAAGCAATGGGGAACAAACAGTTTTGCAATTAATTCTTTTGAGTGGAAGATTGCAACATACTGATGAGATGGGATAAAAACCTATTTACATATATGCAAGAGGCAAGGATTGTTTTGGGTAGTATGTTTTACAGATGGTTCAATGAAAGATATCACCACAACAATTCTTACCCTTAGCATAATTCCTGGACCATCACAGGTACAACATAATTCCAAAATGATTTATATATATAGTTGTTTTTTTTTAAAAAGCTGGAACTTCAAGGTTGTGTTCAACATACAATGTGTACACTCTGTAAGAGAGAAATTACTAATTTTCTGCATTTAGCATCCTTTAGAGAACCAGCCAGTATCATGTATCCTGACCAGCCAAGGCTTAACACACCAACCCATTTAGCACCCTCACAAACTGCTCTTTGCAGGAGCCCAAACAAGGAAAAGGTGCATAGGGGCTGAAGAAAGGTTTTGTTTAAACACATGTAGACCAGATCTCCTGGTCACCACCTTGAAATAATCTGTCAGTAGCTTGTTGTATGGATGGCCGTGAAGAGCCAAAACAGAAGTGTAACAGAAGCACCATGCAGTTCCCCTCCTGGTGCTGCTATGACATGATACACAGATCCTGAACTCAACACCTAGCGTTTAGAGTTTGTATGTCAAAATGCAGTGCCACTTACCAGAGTATTGGGAGTCCTGTTGCCTTTTGCAGTGAACATATAACCAGCCCCCTGATAGTAGGATAGGAATGATGACTGAAATTGTCATAAAATAATAGATCTTATTCATTGATGTGGAATCTGTAATCAAACATTTCAAATCAAGTTATTTGTTAGGTAAAGCAGGGGTAGGCAATTATTTCAGGTGTAGGGCCGCTTGCTGAGTTTTCGCAAGTGGTCAAGGGCTTCACAGGTGCCCCACCCCCTGGTCTCCATCCTGTGACTGGAAGTTCTGCCCCCAAACCCCCGACCTTTGCCACCAGAAGTCCCTCCCCCTGTCCCAGGAGGCACTCCTTTCGGCAAGGGGTTTTGCCATCTTGGAGCCAGAAAAATACCAAGTTATATTCTAAAAAGCAAACATCTACAACATTCATTAATTTGATTTCAAAAAATATTGTTGTCCTGTGTTTGTGTAGTGTACATAAAGGTGATTGCACAGTAGCTTAAAATGAAGCCTTACTTTTGTATATTGTGGGGGATGGGGGGCATAGAGGGGTATGTATAGATTTATGGGGGTGTGTGGGTGTGTGGGGGAAGATGTGGGTATGTGTGTAGAGGTATTGTAGGGTGTGGGGGGAGGGTGGCTGGGGTGTGTGAGGGGGTGTGGGTGTAGGGATCTGCATGTATGGCAGTGTGAGGGGGGTGTGGGTGCATGCGTATGGCGGGGTGTGTATGGGACTCACCCTATGAACAAACACACACACACACACACTCTGCCTCTCCCTTCTTTCACACACACACACACACACACCCCACTCCCGTTCCTGGCCTCAGGGTACCAGTGCGGGCCCCATGCTCCCGCACACCAGTGATGCATCCAGGAGCCACACGGTGCTGGAGTGGCCAGCAGTGGGCAGAAAAGCAGGGGATTGGCAGCTACAGGCAGGGGGGAGTGGCAGTGAGCGGGCATGAGGGAGTGCACGGCCTACATTGGTGTCCTGGTGCTAGTGCCAGCAGGGCCCAGAACGGGGCGGCAGGAGCGTGGGACCCCTACCCCACCTCCAGCACAGCTAGTGTCAGACCTGGTACTCCTGCCACCATGCTCTGGGGCCACTGGTGCAGTCCCTGGGACACCAGCTGGAGGGGGTGGGGAAGTTGGGGGTGGGGCAGGGCCGGGCAGGCCTTGCTGCTGTGCTGCTGGGTCCTGCTGCTGGTTTCCCCTGGGTCCTACTGGCCCTGGCTCCTTCCATCCTTGACAGGCATCCAGGAGCAGGTAAATATTAATTTTCTAAATATTTTAGGGGCCCCACAGGCCAGATAGAATGGCCTGGTGGGCTGCATCTAGCCTGCGGGCCGTGTTTTGCCCACTCCTGACTGAAAGGCATAAAATAGGAGACCATGGATGTATCTACACAAGACGTTTACTGTGCAGTAGACTAATTAGCTACTCAGTAAATATTACATATCTACATATGCACTCCTATTAGGCTGGAGTAAATTAACTAAGTCTGCAGCAGGATAGTACTCAGTGGAGACACGTAGGGGGTGCACCCTCCGTGAGGTCGCCCTCCCTGTTTAGGTGATGGGCAGGGGGGCAGGCAGGAGCTCCAGTGCTCTCAGGCTTAAGACCTTAATTTTTTCAAAATAAATCATGAAAAAGATTTTACTTATATAATATCTGTCACATCTGTGGTACTTTTAACACAATCAGATCACATGACGAACAACATGATCTTTGTCATAGTGAACCAATACTACTACTATTTCAACTTTATAAAAAAATCAAACATAAAAATACAAGTGCTGGAATGTTCCCACGACTGAACTGAGGAATGGTGCAGTTCTAGTGCAGTAACTTGTGTCCTTCTCCTCTCCTTTCCTGCCCCATTATTTATGAGCCTTAGATGCTGTCTCACACCTGGATTGTAATTTTTTCTGGGGAGGAACTGGGAAGCACCCAGTGAACCAAAGGCTATTGCCAATAATATTGTAGTGAATCCTCTCAGATATCCTGAAATCTAAGTATCCTGCAGTTGGGTAAACCAAGACCAAAATGTTAAATGAATTGTCACAAGAAGAGGCAATATCAGAACCTGATGACAGGTTATCTCAGAAATACTCAACCAGGAACTGCAGAACCTAGAGTGCCATGAAAGCCTCACAATTCGTGGGTGCACAAACACCTATGCAGGACTCACAAGATAAACCCAGGGATTTCAAATAGGAATCCATAGTGTCAAAAACATGCTGACCTGTTGCGATCATGCTGAGTTCTTTGCAACAGAAGAGTTGTTCTGGATTTTTTTTATTATAGAAAATTCTAAGTGAAAACTAAGAGCTGGCATTCTCTGAGGGGTACCTTGAGTCTAAAAAGGCTGGGACCCGCTGGACTCTCAGTACTTAGATTTTTGCTCAAATTACAGGTTCTGTAACTCTCAAGGGGAAAAAAATAACAAATACATTTCTGACTGAACCATCCTGACAGAGACAAATGAAGTGGCATGCATACAGGACAGCTACTATCTATGGCTTGCTTACCTTTTTCTGCAACAATTAGAGTTGTTCCATTTCCCTTTCCACTCTTCAGGTAAGGGATTTCAACATTTATTTCACAGAAGTAAATGCCAGTGTTGTTTACATGAACAGCTTTGAGCGTTAGCACCAACTCATTCTTCTGTACAGTAGTGTTTGTATTGTGAACTTCCTCTTTTAGTTTTTCACTACTGGTCCCTGGAGAGCTGAGATCCTGTTTTTCCCAGGTAACTCTATACCTCTCAACTCTGTCATGATTTTCCCAGGTACAAGTCACTTCAACTGATTGTCCAGCTTCTGCAATAATTTTTGTTGGCGTCTGGCTGACTTTTAAGGTATCAGTATCCATAGCTATAGAAGAAAAACAAATAGTTTTTAACTGAAAGTAGGAATCAGGTAACATTAAAGAGTGCAATAATTACATTTGAATCTATTTATAATTTTACAACATTGCTAAACCTATTTTGTGATAATACTGTCACTCTTACTGAGTTAGTTCTGCCCTCGTTTCTCAAAGGAATGATACATACATTAGATCAAATTAAAAATTCAGCTCTTTCTCTTTAATGTTCTTTACATATTGTTCTTGTTGGGTATTTAGTGAAGTTTCCCCATACAGGCTGAGCCTCTTCTTTCTGTGAAAGTGTTCTTTGTTATGTAAGAAATGTGTATTTCATTGTAATTTTATCATTTTTTTTAAAGAAAAAATGAATAATGCGAAGCTTTTTAGTTTACAGCATGTTGAAAATACTTGTGCCTCTGAACTGAAACCAGCATATTTAACTCCATGTGTTGACCCCATACTTGCATACTTTATACTTTCCTTGTTTTATAACAAGTGAAATTAGTGGCAGTGAACATGCAGACAATCTGTTCTTTACGTACAGAACAGGTCAGTAGGGGTAGCAGCCCTGGAAGTATTTTCTGCTCTACTAGCAATATTTCATCTGGTACCTGAAGCAGCTATCCACAGTCCTACAACTACATCTTTGGGTAGGTTAGAGCCAGTATTACCAATTAACACAATTTTTGTTTCTAAACAACAACTTTTCTGCTCTCACAAGCAGGGCTTGGATTTATATTTAGTCCGTGTGTGTTTATACAGACATGTCCTTTACGCTGCTGCCTTGTTCTCCAGAATCTAAACTTTCAGGTAAAACCCATCAAATATCAATGTTTCGGCTGCTACAATTGCTGAGATAGCCTCAAAAATACAAACCAAATGTATTGTGAGGTTTGCCCGAGCTTGCAGAGCTTTAAACAATAGTTCTATGAAGCATGAACTGCCTTGTTCAGGTGAACACAGATGCTCAGTTATAACCATGTTGACATTTAAAGGATGAGCTATTTCACTGATTACCAAAAGGAGCAAGAAAGGAAAGAGAAAATTATATTGTGCAGGTCTGTACAATCGACAGGGAGTGACTGCAAAATTTGGAACCAGGAATGAGAGAATTTTGCCAAGTGCCACCACCTTACTCCACAATCCCATTCAGAAGAAGCCAAAGCCAAAAGATCTAGTAGAACTAAGTGGGTCATATAAGGACAACCAAGCAGAGAGCTTATGTGATGGCATTTTGAACATGTGGACAATATATTCTGAGAGGCTTCTGCCATGGGCAGAATTTGGAAGGGTTTTTCCATCCCTCCCCACCCCCCTCAACTTAATCCCCGTGTGCTTGACCACCAGTAACATGTTACCTAACCATATCCCTAGCAGTATATGCTGGAAAAATATGGGTGACTGCATTAGTGCTAAACACAACATAAAATATCAAAGGGAATTTATACACAGTAGCATCCTCCTGCATATGGAGCTGGGAGAAACAAGACTGGGTAAACCCAGTTACATCAGCAACACATTTAGAGGAGTCTGTCTGCAAGGCCAAAAGAATCCATAAAACGATACTATTTAATTTTCCGATTTTATTTGAAATTGGAGCTGAGCCGACAGGCTTACCCTGGCACTTCCTGCACCTTTGGTGTCAGCTGTACTTTGTATCTAATTGGTAACCGTCACCACCAGTGGCATATATACTTACACAAAGATTGCTCGTGTTCTCGCATTGAAAACAAGGGCAGATTTTGCCAGTATTTGTCACTCTACTGTGTATTTGTTATGCATTTATGTGCATTCATTTCTCTGTGCTTTAACTGGGTTTTAACAGGCATTCTTCACTCCCCTCCCAACTCAGCATTCTTGCTGAGAATTTAGATGCACAAATCATAGAAAAACAAAGCTGAAAGAAAATCCATCTACTGCAATCCCCTACTTGCAGCAGAGTCATCCCTATCTAAATTATTTAAGACAAGCATTCGTCTAACTTGCTTTTAAAAAACTTCCAAGGATGGAGACTGAATGGCCTTTTTAGGTAATCTTGTCCAGCATTTAACCGCTCCCATAGTTAAAAATATTTCCCTAACTAAATCTCCTTTCTAACCTAAATCTCCCTTATTGCAATTTAATCCCATTATTTTTCTTGGAGCCGCTCTAATTAAGCCCACCCCCCGCACCTGAGCATGTGTAAAAACACCCCAAAACGCTAAAGATCAAGTGTGCTAAATTTACACATCCTATATCAGCTTTGTTGTGGGCATGATGGTTCAGGAAATGTACAATAGGCAAGGGTTCTTTTATGATATATTTTTATGAGACCAACTGTATAGTTGGAAATGAAGCTAAATAAACTTCTGCACAAACTGCCCTTCCTCAGGTCTCAGGAAGAGGACTGAGGAAGGGGAGTTTGCGCCCAAAAGCTTATCTAATGTCTCTTCCAACTATACAGTTGGTCTGATAAAAGATCATAAAAGAACCCTCAACTCTTGTATATCCTGTATCTGCATAACTTGGTGTGATTGAGTCAATTTTATATAAGATTCGGCATTAACCTAGACTCTGTTGGGGTTTTTTTTGTCTTAAAGTTTAAATAATGGAGCTCTGCATAGTTATGTTGCTGTAGGAATCAGTGTAGGGATTGTTGTGTTTAACTTCTGCACTGTAAAATTACAGGAACATTTTGATCTGAAGGGATATGTAATGTGCCTGAAACTACAAGAGACACAATGAATATTAACTTTATTTATTTAAAAGAATAAAATCTGAGAGTGCCTAGAAATTAAAAAAAACAAAACATTACATTTTTTGAGTTCTTGCTCTGTACAGCTTCAAATAGGTAAGAATAAGATGCCATTTTCTAAATAATTTGTGCAAATTTCCTTTTCAGTTTGGTTTGTCCACGCTGGAGGGCTGAATGTGAAACTTAGTCAATTAATTTAATTGACATACAATTTGCCACCTTAAACCAGAGGGCAGGTCCATAAGGGCTTGTATCCAGCTACTAGCTAAGACCACTACCTGATATAGCAGAGGAAAATTTAGTCCAAGTCCCTACCATGTTCTCACTATTTTATTTTGATATGTGGTGAATTAAGCAGATATTCATGCAGTACTTTATATAAGAGCAAATATTTTCCTTTTCCGTGTATAAAAGCATCTTTAGAGCTGAGATTAGAATATCTCATTTTATTAATAATGGTAGGAATGGCAATAAAATGATTAATCCTTTTAAAATTATACTCAGACCTCCTGTCATACACAGTCAAATAGGCTGCTCATATATTGTACGTGGAAGTACTACTGTATATACTCAAATACAGATGAGGTATTTCCCCCCCCCCCCAATTGGCATGGGAAAAGCAGCCCCTGATCTTGCATTCATACTCTCATACAAGTGAGCCATATGGCTGAGGGCACATTAAATACATTACGTATCATTAAACTGCTGTCATCAGTAATGGAAACCAACTACGAAGTTGATTAAATGCAGCCAACACGGAGCATGGCTATTAAATACATGGCCCATATTAGGGAAATATGCCAATAGGAAGTCTTTTTTTTTTTTGCCCTTAAAAAAAATGGGTGGGTGTTCCCTCCACAGGGAACTAGAGATGCTACTATACCAGGCTGACAGTGGGAAGGACAGAGACAGCCCTGATACCCTCCTCTTGGTGGCAAAAATGATTGATCTTGGGAACCTACATTTTTTTGTTTGGTTTTTTTAAGGTTTTTTTTGTGTTCCAGTCCAAATCAGCCAAATCAAGTCCAAATCCATGGGTCAGTCCAGAACTATAAGTAGCCCTACAACTCGCAAACATCCTTCACCCCATCCAGGGGCTCCAGATATTTCCAACGTCTTTTGGCAGGTATCCTACGTGCAGGCACAAGCCTGGAGGCTTGGAGCTCAGATGCTCCCAAGTTTCACCTACCCTCAGCCATATAGCCAGAAGAGCAAGATAGGGAGGAGCCTCCCATTTCCATAAAATGGGCATTAAACCCCAACACTTCAACAGGTATCTGGCAGGGGAAACACCATGTATCTGGGTCCAAGAAGGCCGTTTTCCTTAAGCCTCCCATGGGTAACTGTTCTTCTGGAGTGGTTTAGTACCCGCTGAGGTGTTAGGGCTTAATGCCCATTTTATGGAAATGAGAGCTTGTTCCTGTGGCCATATGGCTGAGGGCAGGCAAAGCTTGGGGGCATCCAGACCCCAAGCCTCTGGGCTTGGACCTGCATGTAGGATGCCCGCCAAAAGAATTTGGAAATATCTGAAGCCCTGATGGGGGTGGAGGAGGTTTGCCAGTTGTAGTGCTACTTATGGTTCTGGGCTGACACATGGATTTGGACTTGATTTGGCTGGGAACACGAAAAATGTCTTTAATTTAAAAAAAAGTTTGTACTATATATAAGTAGGTGCCAAAGTGCTGCTTAAAAGTGGGATTATGGAGTAGCTATGCTAAAGCTTGCAGCAGTTTCAGAAAAGGTAACATGCATCAATTCTGGATGAACTAAGTCTTTGGGAACAATTTACAAATTACTATATCTATGTTTATTTCAAGGTTGTTTTCAAATTTGCTCCTTACTTCCACATGCTCAGAGAGAGCAGAGCCTGATGGTAAGTGAGGGAAGGGGCTGCAAAGAGAAAAAGTTGGGGGGAGGCAGAAGGCAAGAGGGCTATCTGACCCCCCAGATTTATTTTCCCTCCTGTAGCTGGCTCATAATGGCCCTTAAATTAGCTATGAGTTTTTACTGAGTTCTTACTCAGGCCCAGTTGATATCGATATGAGTTTTGCCCAAATAAGAATAAAGTAAAAAAAAAAAAGAGCAAGGACTCCCTGATTTAGCTAAACATTCCTCCCAATCTTTAGGATTTCAATCAAGTTTTAGCACGGTTGTGCAATAATTTTCAAAACCGTTAGTATCTTTTTATTCTCCTTTTTGAAAGGACCAACCCAGAGAAATAACAGGAAATTTCTCCTGCCTTCTTGTCAGTGCACCTCACACCAGCTGTTTTACACAACTTGATCACTCATAGTCCTCCTGAAAAGGGACCCAAACCCACCCTCACTGAAGTAAAAAATAAAATTCCCATTTTTGCTTTTAATAGGAGCACCCTCTGCCCTGTTTTTTTTGCAAAATACCTGTCATCGACAACCTCAGACGTAACACGAGGAGGAAGAGAAGATCCAGATCTGTTACTAAATCTCTTCTCCTTCAGCTGCACTATTTAACTGCATAATTACAGTATTTAACAGTGTGCAGCATTTTGTGACGTTTGCATGAAATCTGCAGTACAAAATTTGAACCAGTTTGTATTTAAGTAGCTACTTGTTCTGGCAGACATTTTAGAACTTTACAGTGAGAAATGATTTCAATGAAGCACTGAATATAAAGGTCTAATTTCCAAACAAACAACATTTGCAAGCATTGACCTGGAACTCTGGATTGGAATTAACACAACATCATTTTTTGATTCTTCACATTCTCACTAGAAAAATTGTCCTTGTGCTAGTCTTCTTTACGAAACTTTTTTTTAAATGCATGTTGAATTGGCGTTTGCATAAAATGTTTCCCTCTGCTTTTTTAAAACAAAAGCAACACTTTCCCTAACTCACTCATATGTCCGTACACAAACTGATGCCGGAGGTTGTGAGGACATATATTTTGGTCAGTAGGCTTTTTAAAATCAGTTCTAAGGATACAATCAGTTCTACGGGGTTCCATCTACATAGGAACAGGAAGGGGAAAAATCCACACTTACCCAAGCAGTCAGAAAACATAGTCAAAAGAAAAACTTTCAGAATGATCATGGTCATCTCTCAGCCACAGTGTCTCTCAGTTGAAGTTTCTTATAAACTGATAAAGCAGTTTATCATCGATGCAGCTTAACTTCCTGTTCCCTCTGCTGTGCTGACGGTGACTAAACAAGTTCTTAAAACGTGTTTCTAAGCACAATCACTGAATTATGATGACAAATATTTCAGTTTCAAAGCTCAGCCCGAAGTGTCTGAATAACTGAACATTTTGATTTTCAAGGTAAATCTAACTGCTTGCTCTTTAAATGATACGTAATAGCAGGATCTTGCTAGAGTACAAACGCAAAGGTATGCATCAGTGGCGCTCAGCTTTCTACCATGAAGTCATGCTCTTGACCACAAAAGTCAGAAGTTCTTTCCTTCAAAGCATTTGATAAGGATGAGGTTTCCTCAGCTACTCCGTTCATCTCCGACGCATGATTTATTTGATGAATTCAGTCCAAATCTGAGGCTGGGGACAACATGCATGTGGTACCCTGCTGCTAATGATCACATTACATACCCATCACATATTACATTGTCACCTTGTTAGTGCTTATATCGTGGCTATACTAGGCTGTTGCTACCACTTTTTCTGATTGTTGGTTTAGAATTGAAGTGCCTCTGCTATCAGAAGGATACAGAAAAACAAGGGACAGGCATTTTTCATAGATTCATAGATGCTAGGGTCAGAAGGGACCTCAATAGATCATCGAGTCCGACCCCCTGCATAGGCAGGAAAGTGCTGGGTCTAGATGACCCCAGCTAGATGCATATCCAACCTCCTCTTGAAGACCCCCAGGGTAGGGGAGAGCACCACCTCCCTTGGGAGCCATTCCAGACCTTGGCCACTCTAACTGTGAAGAAGTTCTTCCTAATGTCTAGTCTAAATCTGCTCTCTGCTAGCTTGTGGCCATTATTTCTTGTGACCCCCGGGGGAGCCTTGGTGAATAAAACCTCACCGATTCCCTTCTGTGTCCCCATGATGAACTTATAGGCAGCCACAAGGTCGCCTCTCAACCTTCTCTTGCGGAGGCTAAAAAGGTCCAGGTGCCCTAGTCTCTCCTCATAGGGCTTGGCCTGCAAGCCCTTAACCATACGAGTGGCCCTTCTCTGGACCCTCTCCAGGTTATCCGCATCCCTCTTGAAGTGCGGC